TAAACAAAAGGATAGATGTTAATTCAACTATTTTTTTAACAAACAAAGTAATTAATGTACAATCTACTTACGACGATCAAGTTTGTTCCACCAACTAATAATTATGTTATAAGAGTATTTAATTAATTAATTCTTTTTATAAACATAAAAAAAAATTTAATTAACTTACCGATGAGCTATCTGTTTTGCTTTTAAAGTAACCTGTTCCTTAGAAAACTGCTGACTTAATTTCGCAAAAGGAAATTTTTCATTTGGATTCGCTTTCATATAATTTTTAATAACTTCATCCTTCTAAAATTCAAAAGCATGTTTAGATTATTACGATTAGGAATAATATTAATAAATAGTATTATTACATGTGTATTGAACAGTCGCTCCTTATTTTTAGTCATTATTTTGAAAGTTTATAAAGTGCAAAAAGAAAAGAAAAGAAAGTCTATTTATACATTTTTAGCAGTCCCAATTTATATTCAATTAATATGAAAAAGAAATTTTAACTTAATTTCTACGGTTATTATTATAAAATTTGAGAGGTAATATAAAAGTTCTAATAAAGTAAATAAAGTAATCGTATAATGAAAATTTATAATCAACGGAGATAAACTTCCGATTTTATCAAACAAAGAGAAATGAAAAGAAGATAAAGTCAGGTAATTAACGGGAATCACCGTAGCATAATTTACAAGGTACAGTAAGAGTGTAACACTGCATTTAGCTATGAATTTAGATTTATGTAACACAAAATTTTACTTTGTAAAGATAAATCTAAATGAAAATATTATTTTTTTCATTGTTTATAATAGATTAACATATATTTCTTGTTTTTTTTTTTTTTTTTTGAATTACCTAAAATCTATTTAAATCAATAATAATTAGGTATTCCAGAATTTATCCGATTTTCTATGTTAAAAGTGTATCATGCATTTAAATTATACAAATTCACCGTAAGCATTGTTGAATTCGTGGTAAAATGCATTTCATTTTATTTTAGATCAAATGCTCAAATTTAGTCAAAAATTCTTAGAACATAATTTTCCAAATTCAACATATTTTTTTTTTATTATAATCATTTCAAAAAATTTTTTTTATTTGTTAATTATTGAATTTAATTTAAAAAAAAGTTCATCATTATTAAACGTCGAAATTTCTTTTTCCTTTAATAGTGATAGGAAATAAGTTTTTCTTTAAAAAAAATTTATAAAGCAAATTATTTACAAAGCTCTAAAATAATGATTTGACATTTTATACGCGCTATATTATCATTACGCATAAAGGTCTACCTTTATTAATGGCATGGGATTATTTGTTGCTATGTGTCCAATATCTTATCGTTATCCGCGAATTTATATAATAGATAATATATTCATAATCAACGCACCTATTTTGTTAACTTTTTTACTGATATTAATTTAAAATGCAAATAGGTTTATTTAATTAAAGATAGTTTGATTCAAGGTTAACTCCGTTTTATAAAAAAAAATTTACGATTTCAACCTCTTAATGTATTCAGGGACTTTGTTTTTGTTGAAAGAATCGAGCATAACAAAAAAAAAATTTTTTTTAAATTCATTCTTATACCTTCGCAATTACATTAATAAATTTTTCTGTAAAATAGCTTATGCATCCGAATTGATGATAAACACTAGAAATCAATAAAAGTTTCAAATACTTCGATGACTAATAATTTAAACAAAAGTATTGCGGAAATTTTTACACGAGTTGTATTCATGTGCGCAACATGGATAATATATTAAAACATTAAATTTTAATTTCACTTTCTTACATATTTTCACAAAACGATGTGTGTATTTGATAAAACTCACAATCCGTCAAGTCAAACAAACTATATTAGTCGCAAAATTCTGTAAATTTTTGCTTCATCTTTTTATATTTGATTAATTTGTAAACACAATAGAAACGATACGATGAAAGTAATTTCAGTATAGCACTTTCAGCACAATTCATTTCGCATTGTCCAAAATGGAACTTAGACGAACAAGTTGAAAAATTGAAACGAACATTAAAATTAAAGTTATAGTATATAGATAAATCACAAAATCTGAGTCAAGAATTTGAGATATTTGTAAGGTTGTATATTACAAATAATAGTTTCAAGTCAAGTATTTAAATTTCCTTTTAAGTAATTTTTTCAAGTATTGTAGATATTCTATAAATTCTTTTACTCACATAAAAAATATTAGTGAAAAGAGCAAGAAGATAGTAATTTGAATGTTCAACATCAAAAGCATTAATCTCTAATAAATATGGTTGATGAACAACAAACATTTTTCTTATTCTCATTAATTATTTTATCTACACGTAGGTAGTAAAGAATATATTGCTGAACTCATCTGAATCTTTTGATTAGCTTATAAATATCATCATTTTTTACATAGTAGAAGTTGTAGAATGTTTTGGAAACATCCATTAACTATTACATAATCTTAATACAGTCCCCGGCGAAAAGAATGGCGGAAACATATTTCGACGGTATGTACAAACTTTATTTTAATGTATATTTTTT